TTTTTTTTTTTTTTCCTGGGGGGTGAGGGGCAAAGCCTTTTGCAAAGGGGTTGCAGTGAGCAGTGCCCTGTGATTAAAACCTCACATTTTTGGGGTGTTTCTTGTTTTTTCTTTCCGCCTTGACACTGCTCTTCTGCAGCAGTGTCACACATGGTAGCATTTAGGAGCCCTTCACAGCTGAGGTGTTTCAAACACTAATGAATGGGAGCTCGGCCATGTAGCGCCGGCGAGCTGTAAGGCATGCCTTGCTGAATGGCGCACTGTAGTGGCCTGGGAAAGGAAGAGGGTTATAAATTGTGTCAGCTCGCCACCCAGACAAAGCGAAGCCATGTGGAAAATCAAATCTATTAAAGTATGAAGACGGTTATAAGCTGTTTTAAGCTGGTCATTCTTAAAAGGTCTCCGTTAGCTATGGTGGGGGAGGGAATGCCTGTTCTTCCCAGAGCTTTTCCACGTGCTGGCTTAGGCAGTGAAGTGATGGGTTAAAAAAACAACTTCTCCCTAGCAGCCCCGTCTATTTGATGTGTTTATCATCTCCTGCTTACCCTGCATCCCAAATGCTACGTGTGGGTAAATGTAACGAGGACACGGGGCTGGGACAGGCGTCGGGGTGCGGGAGGACACCAAGGAGAAGACAAGTTCACTGTTTCGTGTGATGGTTTGTGTTGGATGGTAGCAAGCTGCTCATCAGACACCATCCCCACCAAAGCAGATGGGTGCCACTAGGGATGAAAAGCCCATGCCAGAGCGATCATCGTGAGGGTTTCTTCCCTGTCGTCATATGCACATATATATACATATATTTTAAAGTAATTATCTTTTCTCCTTGTTTATTCCAGGAAGAGACTGAAGAAACGTCCTCACAAGAATCTGCAGAGGAAGACTAGGAGACCGCACCACGCAATTTCTACCTCATCAGCAGTTGGGTCTTTTGAAGGGAGAAGACACTGCCTTGACCACTTATTTTCTATTGCCATGGTCTTTCCACTTGCCTGGGGGGAAAAAAAATCGCATAACCTTAAAAAGGATTTTACTAATCATCTTCTTTGTAATCCCTTCACAGTCCCAGGTTTAGTGAAAAACTGCTGTAACACAACGGGGGACACAGATTAACGATGCAACTTTTAATTACTGTTTTCTTATTTCCTTTACCTACTAATAGTTTGTTGGAGCTGCTAAGTAAGGGTGAATGGGTCAGAAGAGCTTTGAGTCAGGTTTAAGTCACTCACTGCACTGCAAAGAAACGAGAAACTTGTAACATATTCATTTTAATGGGCATTGAGATAGGAAAGGCTCGGTGTGTAACACAGAGCCTTGCAACACTTCCAGCAACCCACTCCCTACTTAGTAAACTCCCTGTTTTAGAACACCAAAGATAAGGGATAGATACTACTTTTTTTTTTTTTTTTTTTTTTTTTTTTTTTTTTTTTTTTT